ACAAACATTAAAAGGGCAGGTTAGACCATATCAGAGGACATGTGAAAGAGTCTCCGCAGTTCTGGAAAACAAATCACTGAAAACCGAGATGAACTTTTATCAGAGTAATGGATAGAGAAAAGTATAGAGAAGGAGAGAAACAGCGCATGAGCTGATTAATCCCACATTATATTTCAAACATAGTAGAAGCAATGTCATAACATAGACATGTATGGCTGCCAGTGGACATGGACCACTTGTGTTTACTGATGATGTGACTGCTGATATAAGTAGCAAAATGAATTTGCACTTCACTGCGCAAATGGATAATGATCCAAAACATACTGCAAAAGAAACCCAAGAGATTCTCAAGGCAAATAAATGGAATATTCTTCACTGGCCAAGACAGTCACCTGATCTCAACCCAACATGAACATGCTTTTGAGTTACAGAAGACAAAACTGAAGCTGTTTTTCAAAAGAGGGCAGCAGCTGAAGACAGCTGCAGTAAAGGCCTGGTACACCATGTGAAAGAAGGACATGCAGCATCTGGTGATGTCCATTAGTTCTAGACTTCAGGCTGTCTTTCTGAGGTTACTTTTCAGCTTCTGAAAATGGGGAACTGTGTATAAAAATGGCAGTAACTCCTGAACATTTAACTCGGTGCATTTTTGTTAAACCACTTGAATTAAAGCTGAAATGAAGCACATTTTTTTTATCCACTGTGGTGGTCTACAGAGGCTAAACTACAAAGAATGCTTCATTGTCCCAAAACTGTGCTGTGTTCCACACAGTTACAACCATAACATTAGATTATGTGTTGCCCTGACTGCCCTGGCAGCATACTTGAGAAAAGCTTGAAAGAGACAACAGAGGAATTACATCCCTTCAAAGAGGACTGACAAAGACTTCCTGACTTTATTTTTCCCTCACGCAGCTCCACACAGACAAAAAACAAATAAGTGTGGGTTTCATCGGATATCCAAATGTTGGAAAAAGCTCGATCATCAACACTCTGAGGTCAAAGAAGGTTTGCAATGTTGCACCCCTCGCTGGAGAAACGAAGGTAAAATCAATGTATCGTATTAACTATACAGTAGTTAGGTTCACATGATTATATTTTGGGTTTAGTCAAAGTCCCGTTGCTGCTTAATGTTGATGGCTTCAATAACAGAAGCAGTCTACCCTCTGTTTTTAAAAATATAACTGAAAAACTAAGTGGAGAGTAAAAGAGTAAAAACAACCATTTTTTATCCTTCATTTCCTCTCTCTTCATCTGTTTATCCTTTTTGGAAACAAATGAAGGGTTGAAACCTTGGCGTACAAAGACCGGTCAAGGGGAAAGTCAGGGAAAAATGGCTTTACCTTTAGAGCCAAAATTGTAAGCTTGGACTGTAACTGAGCAGTTTTTCTGCACACCTATCCAGTGACTCTCATAGGCCTGTGGCCAGCAGTGCTTTATTTCCCACCTTGTGTTTTATTCTCAGCACATACTCAGCAATTACGAAAGCCAAACAAGGTTATGATCCGTAGCACTTTCATAGATCACGTACATTTTGCTTTCCCACTTATAATTCTTTCAGCAGTTTTTCCTTGTTTTAAGATTTTATATCAAATGATACCAACAAGGTGAAATGTGTTTCTCATCGTTTGTGAAACAGAATTTCATGGACCACACATACAGCGTTAATCTTTCTCTCTCTTTTGTTTAAGGTGTGGCAGTACATCACTTTGATGAGGCGCATCTTCCTCATTGACTGCCCTGGTGTTGTCTACCCCTCAGAAGACAGTGAATCTGATATTGTTTTGAAAGGAGTAGTAAGTCTGTTTTTTAAAGTTTATTCCAATTGATTTTTTTTTTTAATTAATTAATTTGATTGAGTTTTTTTAATGTCTGCCACTGCAGTATAATAAGAAGGGTGAATTTATTTGGACTTCCCATAAAACTAGGAAAAACAATAACATCTGAAAATCTAAGCACAGATCCGAGAAATGGTGTCCTGGTAACTTAGTATAATCCACCGAACTGTTAATGTTGTATTTTTAACAGTCTCGAGGATTCGGGGAATAACGAACTGAGACTTTAAAGTGGTTTGGGCTTCATAATGCTAATACCCAACTGTTTTTAAAAATGTCTTTATCTGCTCTATTTCTGATCCTCTGGATCCTTGTGGGGCATATTCACCCTTAAAGTCAGCGTAACTGAAAGGTTGCACGTTCACGTCTTAAAGTACTCATCTTTTTCTTTCCCCTTTTTGCAAAGGTTCAAGTGGAAAAGATCAAGAACCCAGAGGAGCACATCGGTGCAGTACTGGAGCGGGCCAAACCAGAATACATTCAGAAGACCTACCGCATCCCTACTTGGAACTGTGCTGATGACTTTCTTGAGAAACTGGCATTTCGCACAGGGAAACTTTTGAAGGTTCATTTTCTTATTTAGAGGCTATACTTGAAAACTGCTTTGTATTTTTTTCCAAACATTTGCTTTATAAGTTCTGATGATATAAAAAATATATAATTTTATAGCTACAATGGAGCATTTTAACTCATTGTATGTGTAAGAGGTAATGGTTAAGGTTTATTTTTCAGCTTGGGTATTTATTGTGCTGTTTTTCTAGAAACAAGTGTTTTAATGCCTCTGTGTAGTTTTGTGGGGAAGTTAATGACTGCTGACTTTGCTGCAAAAGCAGGTTTTACAAACATTTTTCCCCTTAAAGTTGTGTTCCTACCAACTTCATTGTTGCACATTTCTCCCATGTATTTGAATTTAGGACTCTCCTTGAGCCTTATTTCTCTCTAAAAATGCTGTACTGTCTTGACATTTTCTCTGAAATATGGCGTAGGCAGAAATCTAGAGAAGGCAGGACTGAAACAAAAACAGCCCTCCCCCCCTGAAGAGCTTGGGTCTTATGTATGTGCTGTGTATGCATTTAAAAAAGTTACATTCACTTCATTCTCCACATAGGACACGATGAGCTCTTATTTACCAGATGGAAACTCTCTGCTTAACTGATTGTACCGCCAAACTTTCTTTCTGCTTGGACTCTCTCCTTTCACTGCCAAATGTTTAAGTCTGAAAATAGAGTCCAGAAGAGCTGCAGGGCTACAGCTGCCTCTGAAACACTAGATATATATATATTTTTTAAATGTATTTATTTATTGCTGCCTACTTCAGCTTTAAATCACTAAGTCTTAAGATGTCTTAGCAATCTCTTCTTGTTTTTGTACAGGGCGGTGAGCCAGATCTCGCCACAGTCTCTAAAATGGTATTGAATGACTGGCAGAGAGGACGTATCCCCTTCTTTGTGAAACCCCCTGGACCTGAAGGAGATCAAGAGGTAAGATTACACTGAATTTCTCTCTAGGGCTTTTTAAGCGCACCAAACTGTGCCCTCAGTGTAAACCTGTTTTTATTGCTGTGTTTTCGCTAGGATGAGAAGCCACTGCCAGTTGCAGGACCGTCGGAGGTAGTAGAGCATGTGCAGAAGGAACAACCAGACAATCCGGACGCCATCTCAGAGGAACGTGAGGAAGAACAGCAGAGACAGAAGGAACAGGTCCAGAAGATTCTGGCTAATGTCAGACAAAACTTTGGCAAAATCAGTGTGGCTCCAGAGTTCAGTGAGGAAGACTTAGTTCCCATGGACATGCCTGATCTGGACATGTCAGATTTTTCTGGCTCTGATGGTGAGGAAGATGAGGGCACAGAGGAAAACGAAGGCAAAGAGGAAGATGCGACAAGCGTTGAACCAGCTGATGAAGTGACTGACATCTCTGAGCCCACAACCTCTCAGACTGAAAAGACAAACGGCAGCAAGAGTTCACGGGAGGTCATACGTGAGCTGGATGTGAAAATCGCCAAGTACAAGCAGTTTCTGGACCGAGCCAAATCCAATCGCTTCTCTGCAATCCGGTCAGTCTGCTCAAGCCCAAACCTCATTCGCATATTTTCTTTGTCTTGTGTACTGCCACCATTGTGTTTCGTCCAGTAACGTAATGTGAAGTTGTCAGACATAGAGATGCCACGCATTTTAGGTGGTCCGTGCTAACCAGCCTTGAAGCTGCTGATGACTAGCAGTGATCATTTTGATGCCATAACGTTTGTGTCTTTTGTGTTCTTTAATGCTTGTGTTGAATTTCAGCACACACTGAAGAACAAAGTCAAGTAACCGCTGTATAGTTAATCTGAGCCTAATTTAATTACTGTTCATTTCAGCTGACCCCAACAGGGATAAACTGTTTGCCTTGTTTTGTAATGATTTACTTTTTTCCATTTCTTTGGACAGGATACCTAAGGCGCTTTCTGACAAAGTGTTCACAGACATCAAGACTAAACAGTCAGCAGCGACTAAGCAAGCACAGAAGAAAGGTAGTCAGTCAGCTTGTTTGTTATGACTTTGTATGGTTCTGGATGTAAAAATAATTTGGGAAAGGCTTTATCAGATGTGGTTAAGGTCCAATAAACCTTCTGCAGTTCCAACAGAATAATCAATTACTGATATTTATCAACTTGATATTTTGCACAAACTTTAGATTTGAATGGGTACGTCAAGTTAACATTCAGGCAGTGACATCAGATCTGTTCATCTTTCTTTGAATTCAGCTCCAAACCAGAGGGGTAAAAAGAGGAAAGCTGAGGAGGGTGAGGACCTGGCCCAGCTGAACAGACTCACGTCTAAACAGGTATGCGGTGTTTGTTCTCTCTGATGTCAAACAGGCCAGATTTCTCTGGTGAATGTTCTTCTTACTGATGTAACATTGGAAATGAAAAGCTCTGGTCTTTTTTAGAAGAAGATTTCACTTTTTTTCCTCTTCTGTTTCTCTTTTCTTTCTCTACAGAGAAGAGCAATGGATCGTGCTCAGAGGACGAAGAAAGTTGGCGTACGTTATTATGAAACTCACAATGTGAAGAACAAGAACAAGAACAAAAAAATCCCAGCATCAGGCACAGAAGGTCAAAATACCAAGAAATCGAAGCACTAGACTGGAGTTGAATAAAATAAAACACACATGTAAGAAATCTGTATCTAAATTAGCCTGAAGCTATTTTTATTGGGATAAAAAAAAGGTTGGCAGAAGGTGGAACACTAAGGTGGTCTTAATCAACTTGATGCCTTATCTTCATGACTGTTGTAACTTTGTCCCCTCAGTGCAGAACTGTATTTGAATGAAATTTCATTCATCATATACAAGTGTACTGCTCTCTTGACGTTCAAGAGCAATGTGCAGTAGTTGTTTGAAGTGTACTTGTTATGCCAGAACAATAAAACATTTGTAAATTACACAAAGTTTTTACTTTAATGTATCATTAAGCAATAAGATGAATTACAAGTGAACACAATCTTGTACAGAGAAATGCCAGCTAAGTGTTTGTTTGTTTGTTTTTTTACTTCTTTGGTGCAATTATCTCTTCCAGTTGAGCCTGAAAAGAAAAAAGGGGTGATTAAGAAATCTTTAGACAACACAATCTACAAGAATTATTCTCTGATATGTAATTGAAAAAGTCACCTTAAGCTGTTGGTTGGTTCTCTTTAGGAACTGGATCTCGTCATCGTGCCTCTTTTCCTCTAGCTGTCGCTTTTCAGCTTCTATCTTCTCAACTGTTTCACATTTAGCCTTCTCTTCATTCAGCGCCTTCTTCAGTTCTTGTTTCTCGTTCTCTAGCTCCAAAATCTGCCCGTATAACAACGCATACGTGTGAGTTTGTTATTGATGCAGGGTCAATCCTGTAAAAAGCACTGCAGCCACTGTCATTGTACAGTAACTGTAAAATAGAGAAATTGTGCTCTCTGCTGGACTCCTAGCTAAATGACAGCTGAACTACATGAGTGGCGAAGTAAGTTTCCCAGCATCTATAAATTGCTTAGTATTAAAAATATATATTGTGACCCTGTATTTGTAACTCATAAGGAACTTGATATCCTTACTCTGTTTTTCATATCAGCTTCGCCCTTCTTAGCCTGCAGTGCCTTTCTCATGCCGTAAGCTATGCTGCTTTCATACACGGTCTGGTAGGCAGCAATGGTCATCTGAATCTCATCTCTGACCAGCCACAATAGCATACCCCTCTCAGCGCAGTTGATGGTTACCTGTCTGAGTAATTCATCTCAAAAGAAAAAGAATGACAAAAAAACTTATGTGATTTATTGTATTTCTGTGTATTGATTCTACCTTCTATAATCAGCAACATCTCAGCTTCTTCCTTACCAAAACACTGGGAATAGAGCTCCCTGCGGACAGGGCAGATTCCTGTTTCTTTGGCCTGTCTTTGCTGCAGTTTTGTGTTTAGGAGTTCTTCTAGGTGCAACACATCTGCTCTCGTACAAGGTGTACTGGATACTTTCTGCACCCACAGTTGGTTTCCCTCCATCCACTCCCTGTAAGAGGAAAATTTGTAAAGTTCTGAACTTGCTGAAGAACACGCTATGGATAGGAAAAACTCTACCTGGGTGGGAGGATTGAATTGAGGAGCTCCTCATTTTCCTGCTTAGTAGCCTCAGTAGATGCTGGTTTTGGTTTAGGAGGTGGTGGAACAGGTGTAGAGTCAATGGGCTGCTGAGGGCTTACTTTCAAAGGGCGTCCCTGTAGTGACAGATGTTTCATAAACTATCAGACAAACATATTATTACCCTGATTTGATTTTTTAAATGACTGATACATTTTCGTAAATCTATTATAAAATACACCTTACAGAACCACCTTGTAACTGTGTATGCATGCAAATATATTAGTGGATGTAAGTATAATTGCATTAAGCTTTAATCAGACTCTCGGGATCTTGGATAGCATAACTTTTACATTAATCTCAAATCTATCCCTGAGACTTGTGCCATAAACACGGCTGGCTCGATAAACTCACCTTTGGTGATTTTCTGTCTGTGCTTTTGTTGACCAGAACTGGATTGTCGTATTTCAGCAGCGTGTCAGCTGGAGGAATCATTGTCGTTTACAATAGAGGAATAGAATAAACTTATACAGTAAAACCTGAAACTTCTTGGTCTAGCGTTTAGTTACATAAAGTTCACGCTCATTGTTTGGGTTGTCTTGGCAACAATGTCCGTTACGTTTTAATGTGTGCGAGCGGAATCAGCGCTTAGCTCCAGGAGTACAGGCTAGTGACACTTTTTTTTTCAAAAATTCTTTTGAGATAAATGCATTTTTATCAGTATTTAAAAAAATCTATTTAAAAGAGCCAAGTGGGATGTTTGTTTGTTTTTTACTTTTACCACCTTGTGTGTCTTTTACTTTTCCTATGCCTTTTTTGTTTGTTTTGTGTTTACTGGCTGCATCAAGTAAAAGTAATGTGTGTTAAACGAATATGTAAATAATGAAAGAATGTGCCAGCTTTTTCAATACACTAAATATTTAGGCTGTACAGGAAATAAACTGGCCGGCATCTCATGTCGGAACCAACGTGAGACATGGACACTGGCGGAGCTTAATTCTCGGTGAACCTCGGGAAGCGGAAGTGCGTGATCTCGGCGTAACGGGCGAAGTTTGTTACATGCCGAGGCTTTTGTTTTTTTTGTACATACAGTGGTGTGGTTGAAAATGTATGCTTTTTAGGTTATACAACGGTCGATTTGAGAGAATTATTTTAAGCATGGCCAAAGAGAAGCGACACAGGAGAAGAGAAAGTCCGGAGCGTGAAGCCGAAGTAAAGATAAAGCAGGAGAAACTGAGCCCTGCTAGGCCACAGAGATCACGCCGCTCCAGGTCGAGATCCCCCGGCAACTCCAGTCCACAGAGAGGAGGAACGAGTCGGTGTGTGCACTAAAGTTATCATACCACCTTAATTTTGCCACATGTGTCATATTGATCAACTTGACAACCGTGACAGAGTCAGTTTTGAGTATATCGCTGTAGTACTTACTTGGGCTAGCTACAGCCACTAGTTGCATCTCAACGGTGGGAAATGTCGTGTGAACGGTCGCTTAATACTCTCTTGTGTTCTTCATTTAGGTCACCTGCAAGGACGAGGGACCGTTCACCAGGTAGAAGGGGAACCTCTCCCGCCAGAAGAAGCAGCAGATCTCCGAGAAAAAGGAGAAGCCGTAGTCCTCACCACGGGGATGTCAGAGTAAAGCGGGTGATTAGTTTCAAATTATTGGGAAACATTTTGCAATTCAGCAGCACCACTGGAGTGTAAAGTGATCTAGGTGGTATAAAGTACTCATCTGGAATTTACCACACAGAAGCTTGTGTAACCCAAGTGCTAGTCAGATAGTACTAACAGTCTGAGGCAGTCTGTTTTCTGTGTAGAGACCCAACATTGGTCTACAGTTGTCCCATTTTTAATGTTTTTCAGAGGCATCTGGCAGTAATGACAATATATGTCAAACAAACTAGAGCCCACTATTCCATACTGAAGGGTAATGCAGTACAACATAATTAACTACTCAAAAATGTAACTGTGTAAGTATTCTGTAAATATATGTCACAGGAACGGGATGAGCATAGAGCTAGCGGCGACGAGAGAAGAAGAAGAAATGAGCAACCAGAGGACAGACGGAGTAGGTGGGAATCTGATAGGCCACGGGAGAGAGAGCGCGGTGGGGAGAGGCATAGGGAGCGAAATGCTCTTGCCTCTCAACAAGCTGAACGACAGCAGCAAGATGAGAGACGCAGGGAAAATCGCCAGCGACGTGAAGAAAACCAAGAGCGAGACTTGGGGAGGTCAGAAGAAGAGGGTGATGAGGCAAGTGCTGCTCCTGCTGTGAAAGAGAAGCCAAACTTTGAACTTTCAGGGGCACTCACAGAAGACACAAACACATTTCGGGGAGTGGTGATCAAGTACAACGAGCCGCCTGAGGCTCGGATTCCGAAGCGCCGATGGCGACTGTACCCTTTCAAGAATGATGAGGCTCTTCCAGTCATGTACATTCACAGACAGAGTGCCTATTTGTTGGGGCGACAGAGAAGAATTGCTGATATCCCGATTGATCACCCATCCTGCTCCAAGCAACATGCAGTATTCCAGTACAGGTAGGAAGAACAGTCATCAGCACATTTTTATTTATTTTTTTACTCTAGTTTTCTTTTTGTTTGAAAAGCATGCTCGATCTGTGGTGATTACTATTTACTATTGTTGTTGTCCAATATGTTGAATGACTCTTTAGTCGTGATCCCCATTTGCAAATAGATCATGTCCACCATTCTGTCTTCATTTCCGCAGACTGGTGGAGTTTACGCGGGCAGATGGCACCACGGGCCGGAGGGTAAAGCCTTACATTATTGACCTTGGCTCTGGCAATGGCACTTATCTGAACAACCAGCGTATCGAGCCCCAGCGGTACTATGAACTCAAAGAAAAAGATGTCATAAAATTTGGCTTCAGCAGCCGTGAATACGTGCTGCTTCACGAGTTCTCAGACACAACCGAGGTAGACGCCAAGCAGGAAGAGGAAGACGAGGGCCTTGATGAGTAAATTGTTCCAAAGTACTTGATTGCCGATGTTCATTCAGGTTAGATAATATCATCATCAAAAACAACAACAGAAAAAGAACTGTTTCTGCAGGGAATGGAGCAATAAGTTTGAACTGGTAAATGCAGGAACTGATTTAAATAATGGAACAGGATTTGTTGGTGTATATTGTGTAATTACTGATCTCTTGCTTGAACCTGCCACAGCTGTCTCAAAGAAGACTTTTTCTCAGGTTGTATAATGTCTATGTGATAAGTGACGGATCTTACATCTCACATTGCTCGCATTACATTAAGATGTGCTCAGTGACAGATAAAGATATCTCACCAATCTATAGTTATATATTCTATATTTTTTTGCACCACAGCACTTAGTGCAAAGCATAGCTAATCATCTATGTCCATGCTATATGTGTCAGTGTACATTACATTATTGGAATGTGAACTCTAGATTCATGTTTAAAAAGCATTTTTATTGTCAGAGTAAACATTGCAGTATAAGATGTAAGGATATTTCCTTTTCCTTTTTTTGTCTTTGCTTGTAGTGCAGGAAAAAATTATTTACGCTGTTGTGTTCCCTTGCACTACTGGAATCTGTATGCACCATTCTTATTTTTGCCCATTCATAGAAGTTCATAGTAAATTTTCATTTTTGTACTGTAAATAAATTTTTGAAGAGTTTTATTGGAGCAAACTGGTGTCCGTTTGTTTCATAAAATGTCCCGTTTTAAGGAGGACAATAGGCACCATAATTATTTAACAAGTGGGTAATACAATTTGTTTATGATAATTTAAGCCTTTTAATTACAGTACTTTCTAATAGTCATCATCATTTATTTATATAGCACTTTTAAAACACCTGGTAGACCAAAGTGTTGTACAATATAAATATAGTAATAGCAAAAAGCAGAAATAGCAATAAAATTAATTTAAAAAAAAATGTCAGTCACCCACAGACTTAAAAGCCAGGGAATAAAAATAGGCTTTTAATCTGGACTTAAAAACTGGCACTGATGTAGCTTGTCTAATATGGAGAGGAAGGCTATTCCAAAGCATTGGAGCCGCAACAGAGAACGCTCGGTCTCCTCTAAGCTTTAGCCGTGACTTTGGGACTGAAAGCAACAGTTGCTCAGCTGACCGAAGCAAACGAATAGGGACACGAGGCCTCAACAAATCAGACAAATGAACTTGTCCCTGTCCAACCCCTATTAAAAGAGAATTGCAATAATCCAAATGTGAAGTATCCCTTCATTTCTTTATATTGTGCTTGGAAAATGGGTGCAACAATTTACTGAAAGACATGCAAAAAAAAGTACAGTAAGGCAAAAATAGTTTGTACAGTTCTGTACTATTAAAAGTCGATACTTGGTAGAACCGCCTTTATTCCCCAGCACAGCAAATCTCTTGACACTTCTTTAAGCAGTTTTCTAGGCTTCTTGAAAGACTTCCCTAAGTTTTTCTTTGTATGTTGCCTGCCTTTTGTTTGACAACATTAAGGATCTGGCTCTGGGGAGGCCGATCCATGAGTTTGGGAGGGGGGGGGTCACAAGTATACTTGTGACATGTGCAATGACAATAAAGTTGAGTTCTATTCAATTCTATTCATTTTTTAAAAAGTACAGCGTACTTACAATGTAAGATGTCGAAATGTTGTTTATTTTTCCGCTAAATAACCAGGAAATTACACTGTACTGCTTGTGCTTGTGCACTACATAGATTACAGTATATTTTTTTCCTTGTTTCCTGGAAAAATTACTTGTTGCTCCCTTATTCTGCTATACCTATCTTTAAATATTTATTTATAATTACTTTCTAATTTCAAATAAAACACGCTGAAATTCCATTTAATCACGGGGAAATTACGCCCTTGGTAGTGTGCCGTATTATAAAGTGCTACCAAAATGACTGTAGATTTCAGAAATTCTTCTAAAATAAATAAAAGAATCTCATGAATCACTTTGTTATGTTCTGTGTTTTTTTGTGCTAATAATACATAATATCTGTATAATAAAAAATACCACCTAAACTCACGTGCGCCATACAAATTGAAAGCTGCACACTCCGTCATCTGAAAAGTAAGTCCTTGTGGTCTGTTGGTCAAACACCCACAACTGCGCCATCACCGGAGCGCCAAGGGTGCTCTGCTGACACTACATTGGGACTGCGAGAATTTTGTTTTACTTAGACGTCTCAGACTCGTGCTCCTCATAGAGGACAAGAAGGACTTGCTGGGTCCTACTGCAGAGGTCATGCGAGAGTATAGGTGAATATCCTCATAACACCAGCGGGCGGAGCAGGGCAGAGCCGACGTGGGCGGGTCAAATGGAGACGAGCTCTGGGAATGTATGTGGTAAGAGATCGGATCTACCTTGATCAGCGGCGCTGTTATGTTGCTATTGGAAGTCGTCCCTACTAAAGGGCATGCTTTGAGCTTTAGCTGCGGAACAAACGCGAAGTAAATAATGTACACGACAGAGCGCAGGCGAATGAGCCTGCGAGACTCAAAGAGGAAGGATCCAGTACGGGTGTCCGCTGGAAGTTTGTGGCAGGACTCTTTGGCGTTAGAGCTGAGCGCCAGCAACGGCTCGGGTAAACAGATCGTTTCTCCGCGGAGTCGAACCAGAGCGGTGTCAGTGGCATACATTGTCAACGAGGACGCGTCAGTGCCGCACACCGAAGAAAACTTATCACTAAAGTGTCTGAAGGAAGCCTGCGCGGACGCACACGCTCTTCTCAAAACGATTTCATTTGACAGAATTTCCCAAGGCACGACAGACATTCTGGATAGTTTCTACAATGCAGGCAAGTGACGGCATGCAGACTGTAGGGTAATGTAGCGGATATATGAGCACAGAATTATACCAAATTACGCAATTTTACTTTTATAATCCCCCCTTACAGATGTTGCAGTGGTGGAAATGAGCGACTCCTTTTGCCAGCCTTCCCTTTTCTACCACCTTGGAGTGAGGGAAAGTTTCAGCATGACTAATAACATCATTCTGTATTGTTCTAAGCAAGATAGTGATCTGCAAGCTCATAAGGTAACACATGCTCCCATTTATTGTTACATATTGTTTATTGTATACAGTCTCATGTGCTGGAAATGGAAAATAGTTCAACAGGCTTTGCTTTATTACTGCAACTACGGTGGGATATTTTCCTGAAGGGCTAAAATATTGTTGTATCTACATTTGATTTAGAGATGGAACTTATTTAACAGCAAAACACCAGTTAGGGTTAAAACTTTAATTTGTGCATTGTACTTAATGTGAGTGAGAGAGATGGACCCAAAAATAAAAAGCTATAGCAATTGTTATGCAATGTAAAGCAAGCTATGGCTGCCATTAATTCATGTTTTCATTACTGAATAAGTGTACATATTACCTTGTTAAAATAATTTCAGTGCATTCATAACAAAGCTTTAGCCTTGAAGTCATTTGTGCAACACACTTGTGACTGCTTTGTCTAGTGTCAAATGATGCTGCGGTTCCATTGTGGTCATGCAAGCTGTCCCAGCATGATATTTGATGCATCTATTGTTGTCCTGCAGGAGCAGTGTGGAAGTGACACCTTCATCCCATATGTAGTGTCACCTCAGGGCAAAGTGTTTGCCTGTGACGTTGCCATGATGACTTGTATCAAAGACCTGATGCAACCTAGTTTCCAGCTGGAGCCGCTGCTCATCCCCCTGGTTGAGAAACTGGTGCACCTGCTGAACAACGTGCACATTCAGTCCAGGTCAGACATAAACTTTAGCAGGGTGTGGTTAAACATTATTACTTATTTAAACATTATTATACAGTGAATGCATGTTCTTGAGCTTCCCACGTATGCAATGTCACTTAGCGTGTTTACAAAGGATTGTGAAATTGTGGAATGTAACACCAACACTGGACTATCTGCTGACAGTGAGTACTTCCGGGAGTCAATTAGGCATGAGATTCGCATGGCACGGGAGCGGTTCAGCGGCAGAGCCTTGAGCGAGGAGTTAAACCACATCCAGCAACGCCTGGATAGTGTAGATCTGCTTTCTCCGGATATTGTAATGAACCTATTGTTGTCCTACAGGGACGTTCAGGTATGCATTTCTAAATCTGTGTGTCTAAACTAGTGATTATTTATTAACACATTATTTTATGTTATTGAATTAAACAAAACAGCATATTGTTGTCAGAACTCAAACAGTTTTAACATTATTATGATCATATGATTGCATATCTGTTTAGCCATATTTCATTATAAAAGAGCTACTGTTCAATCTGGGAGCCTTCACAAGTATTTGTATCAACAAAGAAGATCAGATTGTGTGTTTAGTGAACATATGAGCATTAACAAAAATAGCTATGGGGGGTGAAATTATTCACAATTGTTTGTAAATAGTAATATTTTTTATATAATAAACTTCAATGTAAATTATTAAAATTGTCAGGTGTGATTCAAGCATGATAATCATTATATTTCACTCTCTTCCACTTTTTCTCAGGATTACGATGCCATGATAAAACTGGTGGAGACTCTGGACAACCTGCCTATGTGTCAGGTGGCGAAGCATCAGAATATCAAGTTTCACTATATATTTGCTCTAAACAGGTACCAACTTGACTGCTATTGTATCTTGGGCTTGTCAGTATAGTTCTGTTGACATCTTTGGTTCACGCTAGGTGCTTTTGTGTCATTGTCAGTTTGCAGAGATCTTTTAGTAAATTCATATTCACCCAAGATATGAAGTTTTTTATCATCACAGTGGTCTGTTATGACATATACCCATCCTAGGAGGAATCAGCCCGGAGATCGTAAAAAGGCTTTGAAAGAAATTCTGCCGATTGTGGAGTCAGGGAACAAGGTGGCATCAGACGTCTACTGCCTGTGTGGACGCATCTACAAGGACATGTTCATGAGCTCAGCGTTCACTGATGAGTCCAGCAGAGACCAGGCCTGCTATTGGTACGCCAAGTTTGGCCATACAAAGTTTTCCACATTTGAGAAAAGTGGCATTTATGTCATGTTTTCCAGACTGTTTCTTTTATATAACTTGCCAGGTATGGGAAAGCCTTTGAGACAGAGCCAACTCTTCACTCAGGCATCAACAATGTGGTCCTTCTAATAGCAGCTGGCCATGAATTTGAGACGTCTATAGAGTTGCGCAAACTAGGTGCTTTCTGTTTTTTACCTTTCCATCAGAGAAAACTTAATGTCTGTGGATTTATTGTGTCATGCATTGAATTTGATCCTTGAAATTCATTTTTTTGATGTTTTAAATGTCTGAGATGATGTGCAGTGCCAGAAAATATATTATTAGGATTCATCATAAACTCAGTCAAAATTAGATTAATACTAAACAGTTATTAGTTGTGTTTTAAAACGTATTTCCTGTTACAAAAACTTTGAAAAGTAGACCATGTCATTAGTGCGATAAATGTTCAACTGAGCTACAGGATATGAGTCACGTAATTGTAATACTCATTAATCCCAGTCAGTGAACACTGCACCTTTATGAATGGGGAGATTGTCATCCTGGAAGAGAGAATAGAAATGTTTGCTTTTATTCTTGTCTCCAACTTGTCAAATATACCCCAAACTGTCCCAGTAAAATGCCACAGCTCACAGAGCCACCAGATCCTATCACTGCAGGGAGTAAAAATTAAGTTGTTTTTTCCCGTAATTTCTCACCCATTTGTGAGAAAATGCATTTCATTATGCTGTACACATCATATCATGTTGTTTTCAGTTGTTGGCCAATCATGTTTTGACAGTGCATAGTATTATAAAGGCATATTACATTGTATTCAATTATTTATTTTGTTCTTAGTCCATAAATGAGGTTGTAACTGTGGTCAGGGTCGTCCTCTGTTGATTTGTTAGTAACCTCTTTTGTTTTGTTTTATGATGTCAATGTCTAGGTGTGACTTTAAGCACCCTGCTGGGTAGAAAGGGTAGTCTGGAGAAGATGAAGGACTACTGGGATGTAGGTTTCTACCTTGGAGCAAACATTCTTGCAGGTGAATACAGGAAAGTCATTGAGGCCTCTGAGAAGCTCTACAGACTCAAGGCCCCTGTTTGGTGAGACTTAATCATCCATTGTTGATGAGCAGTATCAAGGTGTTTAATCAGTTACTAAGCCACATGTATTTTTATATGATTGTTTTTATTAAAAGTGTGAAAAGCAAATAACAAATAACTGCCGAGTTCAATTTCTGTTAGGTATGTGGCATCTATTATGGAGACATACATCCTGTACCGCCGGTTTGCCAAGTTACCTGAAGTGAGATCTCCTAAACAAGATACAGTGGACTTCTGGATGGAGCTGCTTTTGCAGACCTGTAAACCCACTGCCTCATCAAACTGTTGTCCAGTAAGACCAAACACCTTACTGTAGCTGTAAATAATAAACAGGACACTCATCTTCTCACAGAGTAACTATTGATCAGGATTCAGTTCTGCTCATTTGGATTGTAAAGTTAACATGTAACAAAGCAGGAGATTCCCTGCCATTAGAAATGCATTAAACAGCCACGTAGATATTTAAAATAGATAGTACTGGAACTGGTGTTTTTCAGGTGCTCATTCTGGAGCCCACTAAACTCTTCCAACCAGCTATTGTGTCTGTGAACGAGGAGGACCAAAGTCGCACTGTCCAGCTAAAACACGCCACACGCTTAAAGGTATGTAAACTGTCTGGGCCCCCACTCTTTGAGCCACTCTCTGATTGGAATACATTTGACTCTTTGAACAAGTCATACATACGTGTGTATGAATGTATATCATATTATGTAATAAACAAGTTTTCTGTCTGAGTATACAGTCGGCTGGGTGAGTAGGCATGTTCTTTTAGAGCCACTGTGCATTTAAAACATCAATATTTGTTCCTTTTATTCTTGCATATGTATTTATTAGTATGTAAAAATGGTTTACTGTGTGTGACAAACTCTGTATTAGCTGTAAAACACTCTTTTAACCTGTGTCTAAATTTGTATTTAATTCTGCAGAAGGGCTTAAACCAGTGGACTTTCCAAGCATCTGAAATTCGGGGAGTGAGGTAAAATAGAGCAGAGCATGTGACCTTTTTGTTGATTCCTCTGTGTCTGCAGGTCAGTGTTACTGTGTACTTCAGCTGTGTCCCGTCTACCAGACAAATATTCCAGAAAAAGTCATCTGCTGGGTGACTTAACAATAAATCGTTTTATCAGGCTGTAGTATCATAGGGGGGATGATGAAAAACATCATCCCCCCTATGATGCCCCTAGTGGGGCCTTGCTCTTTATCACTAATACTTAATACATTTGATTTACTTTTATTTACCTATAGCTCCCACTGAATTAGAAACAATAGCTATCTCCTTCAATAGAACAAATAAGGATTAAGAGATACAGCCATGATGTCGTCTGTGCCAGTTTTATGTTCAACATATTCAAACATAAAGGTTTGCCTGTTTGAATGATTAAAACCTGTTTACGTCTTTCTCATTGCAGTGCTTCAAAGATTGATGAGCGGAGCTGCTTTCTGTATGTCCACTACAACTCGGATGATTTCCAGCTCTGCTTCCCATCTGAGATTCACTGTAAGGGGTGAGTGATTAACACTTGTGTGAGATCATGTGAATGACATCCTCGCAGATCAACTGATTTGCTAGATAAGATCTAACAGGTTGCGTGTACAGGGTGCAGAAAAACAGTCGGCATGCAAATGAAAGTAGTCAATGACTGGATGTTATTACTTGGTATGAGTCATATTTCCTGTACTGTCCTTACTTGCTTTTCAGAAACCTCTTGACATAATTTAGAAAAAAAAACCCATCCCAGCTGAAGTAACATCTAGTACTGCACTACCACACAAGTTTCAGTTTTCTGTTTGCTGCCATATTTTTATAGTTTTTGACAGAAGCTTATATTCACTCATGACTGGCATGAATGTCAAGTTAATTTAGAGTTTTTAATGGTTTCTTTCTCCTGTTCTTTTTCCAAGGGTGGAATGACTGTAGAACATGCATCTCTAATGACTTTTAAAAATCACAAATTGAATGAAGAAATTTGAATTTATGTTAGATATTCTGTAATTCACACAAGGTGAGAAATATACATATAGGCTCATATACAGTGGGGCAAAAAAGTATTTAGTCAGCCACCGATTGTGCAAGTTCCCCCACTTAAAATGATGACAGAGGTCAGTAATTTGCACCAGAGGTACACTTCAACTGTGAGAGACAGAATGTGAAAAAAAAATCCATGAATCCACATGGTAGGATTTGTAAAGAATTTATTCGTAAATTAGGGTGGAAAATAAGTATTTGGTCACCTCAAACAAGGAAAATCTCTGGCTCTCACAGACCTGTAACGTCTTCTGTAAGAAGCTTTTCTGTCCCCCACTCGTTACCTGTATGAATGGCACCTGTTTGAACTCATCATCTGTATAAAAGACACCTGTCCACAGCCTCAAACAGTCAGACTCCAAACTCCGCCATGGCCAAGACCAAAGAGCTTTCGAAGGACACCAGGAAAAGTATTGTAGACCTGCACCAGACTGGGAAGAGTGAATCTACAATAGGCAAGCAGCTTGGTGTGAAAAAATCAACTGTGGGAGCAATCATCAGAAAATGGAAGACATACAAGACCACTGATAATCTCCCTCGATCTGGGGCTCCACGCAAGATCTCATCCCGTGGGGTCAAAATGATCATGAGAACGGTGAGCAAAGATCCCAGAACCACACGGGGGGACCTGGTGAATGACCTGCAGAGAGCTGGGACCAAAGTAACAAAGGTCACCATCAGTAACACACTACAACGGCAGGGAATCAAATCCCGCAGTGCCAGACGTGTTCCGCTGCTGAAGCCAGTGCATGTCCAGGCCCGTCTGAAGTTTGCCAGAGAGCACATGGATGATACAGCAGAGGATTGGGAGAATGTCATGTGGTCAGATGAAACCAAAGTAGAACTTTTTGGTATAAACTCAACTCGTCGTGTTTGGAGGAAGAAGAATACTGAGTTGCATCCCAAGAACACCATACCTACTGTGAAGCATGGGGGTGGAAACATCATGCTATGGGGCTGTTTTTCTGCCAAGGGGACAGGACGACTGATCCGTGTTAAGGACAGAATGAATGGGGCCATGTATCGTGAGATTTTGAGCCAAAACCTCCTTCCATCAGTGAGAACTTTGAAGATGAAACGAGGCTGGGTCTTCCAACATGACAATGATCCAAAACACACCGCCCGGGCAACAAAGGAGTGGCTCCGTAAGAAGCATTTGAAAGTCCTGGAGTGGCCTAGCCAGTCTCCAGACCTCAACCCCATAGAAAATCTGTGGCGGGAGTTGAAAGTCCGTGTTGCTCGGCGACAGCCCCAAAACATCACTGCTCTCGAGAAGATCTGCATGGAGGAATGGGCCAAAATACCAGCTACTGTGTGTGCAAACCTGGTAAAGACCTATAGTAAACGTTTGACCTCTGTTATTGCCAACAAAGGTTATGTTACAAAGTATTGAGTTGTATTTTTGTTATTGACCAAATACTTATTTTCCACCCTGATTTACGAATAAATTCTTTACAAATCCTACCATGTGGATTCATGGATTTTTTTTTCACATTCTGTCTCTCACAGTTGAAGTGTACCTCTGGTGCAAATTACTGACCTCTGTCATCATTTTAGGTGGGGGAACTTGCACAATCGGTGGCTGACTAAATACTTTTTTGCCCCACTGTACACATTCACGCACTTAAATCTTTTATCAAGTTGTGCCGAAGGTCTTTTAAATTGACAAGAACAAGGTCTTAACTTCTTGTCAGCGATCATGATTGACTATAACTAGTAGTTTCTCTTTGGTAGTAAGAATTTATTTGACAGCATTCACTGGATTGACCAATACTCAGAACAACAGGAAAATCTTAGAAGCTCAGTGACGACCTAATAAGGAGAGTTTTAGATTTAACCAATTTGAGGAGGTCTTCTGGAGCCATTTCAAAAAAACTGCAGATTCAGACAATTGTATCTAAGTAAAGCTTATTTGCATAGGCTTATTTAGATGGTCCCGAAGAAGACTCAAGCTGTCACCCTCAAATGAGAGGAAATTATTTAGGCTGTTTAGGAACAGCTAAGGAATTACTAAACACTTTCCAAAATAAATGGAGTTTTACATCACCATGAACTCAGTGGGTTCCAATCAAGAAAAAGTCCCTTCCCCAGACTAAATACCTTCAAGATTTGCTGAAATTTGCAGCTGCAAACATGGACAAGCCAAATGCCTTCTGCAGAAGGATTTTTACACTTAGATGGCCACAATGACAAGAGGTATGTTTGTAGGAGTATAGGAGAGGGACACTGTACCAGCTCTCGTGGTACAGTGTCACGATAGTGGTAGCATCATGCTCTAAGGCTGTTTTGCTGCCAGTGGTACCAGTACATTGAAAAAAGTGGATGGAATCCTTCCTTAACTTCACCATATTTGGGTGTCCCAGCAAGACAATTATCCCAAACACACAAAGCTGGTTTTAGAAGGGATAAAGCAGGCTGACAAAACTTTTGAATGGCCTTCCCAAAGTACCGACTTTAACCGTAATGAAAAGTTATGGCTTAAAAGCCAGGTTCATACCAGGAAACCAACCAATTCAAATGAACTCTAGCACTCCTGCCAGGAAGAGTGGTCATATATCCAGCCAGAATTATGCCAGAAGCTTGTGCCAAAAGTGTCTGGTAAACCAAATATCAGTGGGGGGTGTACAGTATGTGTAGCCTGTATGTTTAATTTTCACTCTGTTTGGATGAGAAAAAATCCCAAATGAATTCAAAACTTCTACACCCACTTATTGCTTTTTAAAGTTATGCATGCTGTGCAATCATTCCACCCTGGAAAACAGAATAGTTTAATGAAATCGATAAAAGCCCAATATGATCAAACATCCATGCCCATTATGAGTGTAAATGAATTTCTGACCACAGCTGCATATAATAGAGTTTGTTTGTTTTTTTCCTATTAACACACTGCCAAATATAACATCCTGCTTTTCCTGTTTTCACTGGTATGTTTCCTTTTAAACAAATTAAGTTAAAATGAAACAAACGGTGATAAATAGAACTAATGAGGGATTACTTGTAAGCAAAATATCCACATTTTCTAATTTCAGTCTCACATCAACCTTTTCTGTCACTTGTTTTTTTTAATTACCAGAGACAATATCAGGCTTCTCATTCACATCTATTCAAATTTGATCAGCCATTGAAAATAAATATGAATTTTATTGTAGCTACTTGCAGTTGTGTATTTTGGTGTGTGTGAACCAGTGTGGCTAACAGCCAAAAACCTATCAATCTGTTTATAAGTAAATCCCTCAGCAGAAATCTACAGGGACCTCTTCACTTGAGCTGATGTTTACTGAAAGTATATTTAAATTTATGCTGCAGTGAGAAATATTTTTTATGTATGTCTCTTCTCTACCTAGTTTCTGTGAGTTGGTAAACTCCCTTCTCCAGGAGGCTGAAAACCATGTTCAAGATATAGAACATACACTCGGAGAAATACTAGAGGTCAGTTACAGTTCCTTCTATATCCGGATGCAATATGTGTTCTATTTTAGGTCTGTGCTAAAAAAAGTGAATGCCATTTTAGTTAGAACTGAGCTACTCTTGCAGACGTGGTTTTACCATGTGTTTCACTCTCATAAAACCATGTTTAAAGTTAAAATTTGAAAAGCCAGTGTTATTTATAAAGAATATATCAAATCTATGTCTGTCAGAACTGCCTTAACTCTACATGACAAAGCAAAGTGCTGGAAACATTTCTCTGATATTTTGCTCCATATTGACATGATAGTGTCACATGGCTGCTGGAGATTTGTCGATTGCACATCCACAATGCAAACATCCTATTTCACAACATCCCAAAGGTGCTCTAGTGCATTGAGATGATATGTTAAAACAATATTAAATCACTTCCACCAGCTTGAATCACTGGTGCAAGGCAAGATGCATCCTTGCCTTTTGCATTCAAAAGAAACTCATATGTTTCTTTTAGTAAGTAGTACTAGTGAGAGAGTAACTGGGTAAACTAGAAAAACATTGGTGGGAAGAAATGCTCAAAATGCTGTTTTGATTCATTTAAGGTGGGGACCCCATGCAAAGTGTAGCCTAAGTTTCCGGTTCTTAGTTTCCTGTTTTAGTGAGTTTTTATTTGAGTTACTGTTGCCTTAGTATCAGCTCAGAGCAGTGTGGACAGTCTCCTCTGACAACTGGTGTTAACAAGCCATTTCAGTCCAGAGAACTACTGCTCACTCAATATTTTCTCCTTTTTGGACCATTTTGTGCAAACTAGACATGGTTGTTCAGGAAAATCCCCATAGATCAGCAGTTTCTGAAATACTCAGACAAGGCTGGTCTAAATATGAATCATACTGACTTCAAAATCACTTATATGACATATATTCCCCAGTCTGATGCTTGGTTGGAATTTCAGCAGGTAGCCATTTCCATCTCTGCAAATCCCACCATTCTCTGCTGAACTCTGGCATCAACAAGGTGTTTTATCCAGAGAACAGACACTCACTGGATATTTTCTTTTTTCAGATCCTTCTTTGTAAGCCTTAAAGAGGAAAATCTTAGTGCGTCACCAGTTTGTGGAAAACTCAGACCAGCCTTTCTGGCACCAACGCCCATGCTCTTTTTAAAGTCACTTAAATTTCTCCACATTCTGGTGTTCATTTCCTACTACATCATGTCGTTTTCACCATGCTTGCGTAATAAAATGCAATGAGCTGCTGCCATGTTATTGACAGATGACATATTTGCATATTGATCAGGTATTTGTGAGTTCATGAGTATAGTAAAACCTTTAGCAGATGTCGCATTTTGCCTTATTTAAACCTCTGAATGAAGGTCTCCTTAAGTTCCTAAAATTCTGTTTCCATTCACTCTATACTGATTCTTACTGATTCTCATTCTACAGTATATCTATGAGACCAATGAGAATGGTGACAAGGTAATACTTGGTAAAGGAACTTATGGTGTAGTGTATGCTGGAAGGGACCTGAGCAACCAAGTACGCATCGCCATCAAAGAGATCCCCGAGAAGGACAGCACGTAAGAAAACACATATGTTACCCTTCTGATGTTGTCACTTTCAGATTACGCTGTAGTCAACAAAATCTGCTCAGTTACAGTAATAATATGATAGCGTTTAGGTAGTGTTAACCACATGAAAAGAAAAATACACTGTCGACTCTAGACAGACGTGGAAAAAAACCTTCTATATGTAGCAAAATATTTATTGCTTTTGCAAACTTTTAAGGCAAAGGTTTAAGCGATTAAGTCCCCTTAAATAGTTTGTTTATACATCCAAAATCCAAACCTAGTTGTGGTATATTGTTTATAACTCCTTTTTAATGATGGAAATGAAAAGAGGCCTAAATTAGACAATGCAAATCACTTGTACAAACACAACAATCTCACAGCAGCACCTTTATTCTTTTGTGTTGATTAGGTATTCTCAGCCCCTGCATGAGGAGATTGCTCTGCACAAGAGGCTTAAACACAGGAATATTGTCCAGTACCTGGGCTCTGTCAGTCAGGATGGTTTCATCAAGATCTTCATGGAAGAAGTACCTGGGGGTAAAAAGATGACATTTGATCTTCTAACACTCCTAGCAATAAGAGTGCCTGTCATTACTAAATCGTTACTGTAATATAAATCAAAGCTTCAAAAAAGTTTTTGTTTGATTTTTTTAAGTTTCACATCTGTTTGTGGAAAGAGCTGTTATCACAAATGTAAATGTGTAATTAATCAGTTTGCTCATATGTAATCAACAAGCAAGTAATTATCCTCTTTAGCCATCAGAATTGTTGTCTTAAGGCCAAGAAAGATGCCAAGCGGATTTATTTTACCAAGTGGATCATCATGGCCTTGCCATATTGGTCCATTTGATTGACCTTTATTATAATTATGAATTTATTTTATTTTCAGTTGCTACAAACGGGACAGACATGACTGGGGGATAGGACAGGGAGAAAGAATGAAAGAAAGAGAGGGAGAGAAAGAAAACCAAAGGGGAGAAGAGACAGTGAGAAGGGGGGGAAGAAAGAAAAAAAAAACAACAAAAAACACCTGGGTCACCTGTATGGAGAAAAAAAACAGAAGAGAAAGCAAACAACAAAGAGCAACATAATAAAAAAAACCATCACAATAAACTAGCTAGCAGTAGATATCAGTAGATACTAAATAATAAACGATATTGTGCAGCATGCAAGATAGACAGCGCACAATGTGCTTTGAGGCAGCAGCCAAGAAAGCTAATTATCCTCTGACGTAATGAAATTAGATCACGGGGTGGAGCGATGTGGTTTGGGAAATCAGAGACATGGCGTCAAGCACAGGTTCCTGAGAAATTCTTAAACACACACAAGCCTTGATGTTCCCAATAAGTCTGTTTCCTTGCTTTCTGTGTGCTATTTGTCGTGGGCTTCAGGGAAATCATGTGACCAGAATTGTAATGCATGTGTGATTATGTAACATCTACTGGAAGCCAGTTTTAAAGAAGTGGGTGGTTCTGAAGACATCCTGTTCAGTGGAGGAAAATGTTTACAGAAAATGGTGTGATTGTGTGAAAAACATCTTGAACCTCTGATTAGAAACATGCACAGTCCTAATCCATTGCTTTGTTTGATTGTGCCAAATGTAATGGAGAAACAGTTTTTTTTTTAGTTGTGCATGTGATATCATCATTATTGCATCTTTTTTAAAACTAATAACCTTGTCAGGCGCTGGTTTAGTTCAGTGCGTGAGCGGGTGACCGTGTGGGACGTGGCTCGAAATCAGTGGCGTGGGTCACCTTGTGAAATTATGCATTTCCTCTTACAGGTAGCTTGTCTTCTCTTTTGCGCTCGAAATGGGGTCCTCTGAAAGACAACGAGCCCACCATCATTTTCTACACCAAGCAGATACTTGAGGGTCTAAAGTACCTTCATGAGAATCAGATAGTCCACAGAGACATCAAGGTGAGCAGATCACCTTTGGCTTCGTGGCAAATAGTTTTCTGGTCTACTGTGTCTTAAAGTTTAGCTTTGTGGTATTCACTGGTTTTGTTCCTTATGCAGGGTGACAATGTACTGATCAACACTTATAGTGGAGTTTTGAAGATATCTGATTTTGGAACCTCCAAACGGTTAGCAGGGATTAACCCCTGTACTGAAACATTTACTGGTAAGTTGACAGTTATGACATTATTAAAAGATTGTTATTATTAAAACATTTTTACACGTGAACTCCTCACAGTAGTCAAACTTTCACTTTTCTGGTGGATTTTCAATAGGAACTCTGCAGTACATGGCCCCTGAGATTATAGACCAAGGACTTCGGGGTTATGGGAAGCCGGCAGATATCTGGTCTCTAGGGTGCACTATCATAGAAATGGCAACAGGCAAAACACCCTTTCATGAGCTGGGAAGTCCCCAGGCAGCCATGTTCAAGGTAAAAAAAAAAGGAGTTGTGTTTTCTACGTAAGTTAAAAATGCTCACAGTGGACTTTACACATAAGGACATTTGGCAGACATTGTGGAATGCCTGGAATTATATTTCATGGAACATTCGGGAGACTTTTCCTTTGAAGACTTTTACATTTCATGATCATTGTTTATTTAGTTTTTACAAGTACCAGGTGGATATTAGATTGATTAGATATACAAAGTTTTAAATTCAGTTACACTTTAGGTGCATAATTATTTGCACAACACAATTCTGTGTAGTTTTGCCTCTGTACAGCCTGACAGTGGTGCACATTTTTATATAGTCCCCCCACTATCAGACCAAGTGCTTACACAAAATAACAGAACTTAAGTATACAAACTCCTTTTTAACACTTGGATGAAAATCATTTGCAGTCAGTGACACACAATAACATGGTCCAGAAGCAGAATGACAAAAATTGTGTAATTTTCTCAAAACTCATCCTCCTAATACATATGAACCCAGACAAAGAGAGCTATCAGCATAGCGTAAGAGCTAGCACAGCACAAGAATCTCAAAGCAGAATGTTTCAATGAAACTTTAAAAATTCCCAACTAGGTTGGCATGTTTAAGATCCACCCCAAGGTTCCAGAGTGCATGTCAGATGAGGCCAAAGGTTTCATCATGAACTGTTTCGTGCCAAATCCAGATGAAAGAGCCACAGCAGCAGAACTGCTTCAGGACCATTTCCTAAAGTCGTCTACGAAGAAAAAAGCTAAAGCTGTTCAGGAATCCCTGTCTATAAGTGAGAAATACACTTAAAATACACACATTTCACCTCTTACCCATTTTTGCTTTCTATAGCAATGATGCAGAGTATCTAAACCCTATTTCTTACAGCTGACTATCAGCGCAGTATGTCTGTGCCTATCTCCATCCTTGTGGAGGATACTGATTCTTACTCTGACTTGATTGACCTGTCTTGTTCTCTGGACCTGACGAGGTCGCAGTCCTCTCTCAGAGCAGAAGAAATCTCAGAGAGCCCACCGAGCACCAACAGCTTCCTGTTGTGAGTAAGATTATTCCTCAAAAGAAACTCAAAACCTTTTCATTTGTGCGCAAACTATGATTGTATTGGATCTTACTTTACTGGTAAACCACACTGAGGTTCGTTCTTCACAGTCCTATAACTTGTGAAAAAAGGCTATAATGCAAAATTCCCCATGCCATTATTAAATAATACATCTGATGTGTTACTGATAGCCATATCTACATTTTTCTATCATACAATGGTTATTGCAGCATGTTCGTGGCTTATCTGTGCCATTTATGTTTGTTTGCACTCAATTTTTCCAGAATACCAGATGACTCCACATCAGACATGAGCAGTCCATCCTCAACAGAGGAGAGTACTGGCCTTTTTATGCTGAGAAAGGACAGTGAGAGGAGAGCCACGCTGCACAAAGTTCTCACTGACTACATAAGCCATGTTGCGTCTAGTATACAACAGTCTGTGCCTCAGGTGGGTAAAGAAAAGTTACCGCACTGTCAAATTCTGTTATAGAATTGCTCTTCAATTCTGAGACTGAGATGGATTTTAGTTCTCTAATAATGAATAGCTCTTTATAATAGAGTATTTGAAAGCTTATCAGTATCTGCATGTTTAAACTACTAGGTACACGTTGACAGTACAGGGTTGTGGGACTCTGTGATACTAGTCCCCTCCGAAGGTGCTCTATTTGATTAATATCTGGCCGACACTGACACATTCTTTCATGTTGTTTCCATCAAACTCTGACCTTAAAATCCAAATATCAAAGCAGAAAAATTACTGTGAACTGCAGCCTCAGTTTCCTGTTCTTAGCCGACAGAAGTGGTACCTGTCTTTTGCTGTTGTGGCTATCTGGTCAATCTCTAATTTCTGGCATCACCAAAAAATTTCTGCCCAATTTCTGTCTCGTGTTACACATATTTTCTTTTTATCTGACCATTCTCTGGAAACCCTAGAAATGGTAGTGTAATGGTAGATCCCAGTAGATCAGCAGTTTCTGAAATACTCACACCAGCGTGTCTGGCACCAACATTTAAAAACATTCAAAGTCAATGAAATCACCTTTCTTCTCCATTCTGGTGCACGGTTTGAACTTCAGCAGGTCATCTTGATTATTTCTGTGTGCCTTAGTTCATTGAATTGGTGACATGTGTTTGGCTGATTAGATAGTTGAGTAAATGAGCAGTAGCAAACATATTTAGTAAAGTACCTGGTGAGTGTATAGGCCATACCAAATGAACCGGTTCCTTTGTAATCTACTATTAACATATTGCCTTACACGTATTGCGCCACCGACATTGCAAACTAGAGAAATAGGAATGTAAAGCCAAAGAATGTACAAGCTAAGGTTACCTGTTTAGCTAAAACCTGTGGGAGTTTCCCTCATGAGGGTTTTGGTCCTTAAATGCTCTTAGATTATTATCTTATGTTTGATAAGATGTTTCTTGAGGATAAATAAAGTTTCTATGTTTCTTTTTCCTTTCTTTCCATCTACTTCGTTCCAGTTATGTACTGTTCCTCTATAAAAACCTTCAGATTTTTCTTTGCATCACAATTTTTAACCATAACCATTATGAAGCGCCTTGAGGCGACTTTTGTTGTGATTTGGCGCTATATAAATAAAATTGAATTGAATTGAATTGAATACTTTTACAATAAGAGTTAATAAAAGATGTTAGTGTATCTCGTTTTATGCATTTAGGTTAGAATTTGTTTTGAGCAGAGCATTTTTTTTCTTATAGTCCTGAAATATTTGTCATTACTAAAGGAGAAATGACCATTAATAGGAACATTGTTATCAATGACAGATCACAGTGAAAAAGACCATTACTCTCCAGCTGAAAAGAACTACAGAGAGATGAAGTAGATGGGTTTATATACTTTGAAAACGAGAACTGCAGAATGTATCCTGATTTTAAAGTCTGCCTTTCTCTGTTAAAAGTATGGTGATGGCTCCTCGATCACTCCAGACCACATCACCAAACTCGTTATTTGTTTGCGTGACAACATCCATTCCCCGGACAGGAAGCAGCTTACCAGCGGCTTGCTGGAGCTTCGAGCTACGCTCGTAGCTGCCTCAGTACCTCTGAACAGCCTACAGGTGGTGCTATTTAACTTCCAAGACGCAGTAAGTTACTTCGGAGCCCAAAGCCAGATTTTGCTGGTGATTGCACTTCACTTTCAAGATTTTTTTATTTAGCAATTACATCACAATTGAGAATAAGCCTCCTTATATTCATACAAAGCCTTCTGACCATAGGTGAAAAAGGTGTTGAAGCAACAAAAGGTGAAACCTCATTGGATGTTTGCTCTGGACAATCTGCTGAGACAGGCAGTACAGGATGCCATAACTGTATTACTGCCAGGTAAAGTAGGCATGTGCTTCATTCCATAATCTGTTTAACATTGTTTTGTTGAGTAGAAAGAAACAACAACATAGTGGTAAGAGTGTTTGCCAGAGGAACATTGTATTTCATTGTATTTTTATTTCATTTACATTTAAATTTATTTATTTTCTTGCCTGTTGATTTTTTTAATTTATTCATTTATATTTCTTACTTATCTGTTTTTCTGATACTAATTTACCCTTTGCCTTTCAGAACTCAAACTCCATCTGCAGTCCTCATTCGAGAGTGAGGACAACACCTCTGAGGAGCTGTTTGCCGATCCAGACACTCCTGTAGCTCTAGTCCCTGACCAGCTGGTGGCACCAGCATACACACAGCAGCCAGATCCAGCAAATGACGTCCTGCCTAGAGCCAACCCTAAACCTGCAGACTTCAAGCTTAACACCAACTGGCCACTCAGCGAGAACCTGAGAGATCTGCGACTGGAGACCAGAAGGTTTATTTCGCCTGTCACCTTTATCATTCAGAGAATCTACAGGTTTATTAGATTCTCTGAACAAACTACATACATACATAAAATACATTTTTATTTTTTGTTTTCTCAGCTTTCTTTTCATATCCCCCTCATATTTCCTGTAAAATAGAATAATCGTGACTAACATTCCTATTAGGTGTACACAGTGATTCATTTAATTTTGGGTTGCAGGGCTTTCTGCTGCAGGTTAAGGCTATTTGTGTTGTGTTTCAGACTGCTGAATCATCTAAGCGAGAAGGAGACAGAGTATCAGGAGCTACTGAGGAACTCTCTCTGGAGAAAACAACAGCAAATAGACGCACTGAGGAAAGAATCAGTCAATGAGGGTAATGTTGTTTTAATGCCAAAACGTGTTACATCTTACGAAATACTAGCACAGTAACTGCTGTGTTACAGTAAGCACTTCTTTCCCCACTCACCTCTTTTCACTCTCTTCTCCCGCATGTCATTTTTTTGTCATCTCTCTCTCATAATGTGTATTTTTTCCTGTCTATCCCGGCTCCCTTCTCTTTCTCCTCACCCTCCAGCTGGTCATGGCAGATGGGTGCCCCTCCCTGAGCCTGGTTCTGCTGAAGGTTTTTTCCTGTTAAAAGGCAGTTTTTCCTTCCCACTGTCGTAAAGGGCCCACTCATGGGGGACTGCTTGATTGTTGGGGTTTTCGCCAATACTATGGGTTTTACCTTACAGTACACAGGGAATTGAGGTGACTGTTATTGTGGATTTGTGGTTTATAAAGAAGCTTGAACTGAACTGAATTGTGTCTGTGATCGTGCGTTTTTCTGCAAGCTGAGTTGTGCAAAATAAAGGCAGCCTGCTTTATTTTCCTGATTTGAAATATTTACAAAAGGCTATATCACTGAAGTGTATTCTCCTGATTTGCTATATCCTGAACTAAATTAGACTTGAATCTGAACCATTCCTTTAGATGATGAAATTTTCTTGAATATTTGAATATTCTGTTTGTACACCACAATCAAACCTCTAACCCTAGAAAATTAATTCAAGTTTTACATTTTTTTTTCCTACTAGATATGAGACAGTAAACAAAGATGTTTAATAGTTATTTGAGGAGCACTGAAGTTATTCTCTCGCCTTTTATCAGACAAACATCAACACAAGCTGCGACATGAGCAGTATCATAGGAAGGGACCAAGCCTTCTTTGGATTATCAGTACACTCAGTGATTCTAATTACTATTTCTTAACATCTGCGCCAAGCAATCCCTACCACACCTTAGCTACAGGCTGATGGCGGATTTCTGCCTGGCTAGTTGCTGTCAGAGGCGTTGGCTGCCAGATCAGCTGCTAATGTGCTCAAACTTGACTTGTTAGTTTGTATAATGATTATACGGGCTGGCTGCCGAAGACACTTTTGTTGTGTGTAACATTAACACCATTAAATACACCATGTGTTTATGAGTGTCTGAGAAAACCTAATGGTTGTAACTCTGTGCATTATAGATGTGGAGTTGGCTTCACAGAAAAGCTCCAGACCAGAGAAGAAAGCCTTAGCGCGCTGGCTAAAGACTGTCCCCGTAGATCAAGACACTATCAACAAGGTAAATTCAGCAAAAGCTCAACTTTGCCTTTTTTTTTTACACCCCTAAGGCTACTTCGTGTTACTCATCCACCTGGTATTAATCCACACCTCTGTGATCCTGTTTTCCAGTTGCTCTCTCATGAGTTCACCTTGGACTGTCTCCTCCGTATGGCCGCCAAGGATGACTTGATGTACTGTGGAATAAGGTGAGCTGCCTCCACGCATCACCCCCTCAAAACACGAAGTCTACACCGTTATTTTAAGTTTCATCATAAGTTTAAGCAAAGTGAAATTGCACATGAATGTGAGTCCACTGTTGCTGTTGCAGAGGCGGCATGCTGTGTCGAATCTGGGCAGCTGTAACAGCTTACCGGAAGACCCAGCTCAGCACGCACAATGAGGACAGCGAGGACACCCTTCTTTAATGGCTGCTGATGTTACACATCAAAGGGCAGGTTCATAGACAGGCTGGCCCTGTGTGTGGTCTGGAGGAACAGAGGCATTTCAGGTTGCTGATGTAAAGCAGATTAAATTTTGAAAACATTTTTAAACTGTGAATGTACTATAAAGGAGCATCAGAAGCTTTTTACTGAAAAGCTAAGTCATGTCAAAATTTTATTTTGTTATATTATGTTTTTACATTTTATCCGGGTGTCAGAAGGTAGAGCTTTAATTGTATCTTCAGAAGATATTTCATCTAGTGACGCTGTTTTCCTGTTTCACAGAAAGCTAAGCAGGATTTGAATTTATTAGAGACTATGTATAAGACTAACCTGTATTCCTGGTTTGGAAAACAAATGTTATTTGTACTATAAGCCCTTATAAATTAATTCAAATAATAAACAGGAAGCATTTTTTAACAGTCATTCAGACTGGCTTGTTATCTCCACACAGTCCTTTGTTTCTAACAGGGAGAAGGTTTTTTTTCAGGGTGTGATGTAGCATGGAAGAAGTGATGTAGTGGTGAACAGTCTTTAAATTCCACACGCGTTTCCTCATCTGTTTTCACTGTGTTGACGTCTCCTTAGAGACAGTGACGTGAACTTTGTGTGTGTTGGTCGATATGTGTGATGCATGTGTCTGAGAAGGTCTATTGTATGACTTTTTGCTGTTCTGGGTGGTTTCATGCTGTCTAGTACTTAGTTCTTCAGTTTATGAAAAAGAGTTAAATTTTAAGTCTAGACATGAGAAACTGGGCTCGAGTAAAATGACGAGACTTAAAAAATGAAGAAAAAGATCAGGAGTGTAACATTTCAGAATAAGTTAGGCAAACAATCTTTAGAGAAGAATGAGGAGATTCTGAGGATGTTCTTTATTTTAATAGGAGGGACAGAAAGGCAGTTTAATGTCATATGCTTGTTAACTCCATTCTCTTTCAGTAGGGATGTGACTTCAGTGGAAGCATTGGGCTGGCTCCTGCTAGCCATAGTACTCACTATTGTGAGTACTATTCGAATGATATGCAAAAATACATGTTGCCAAATAATAGCTAGTATTTGCTTTTAAGTCCAACCCTCTATAGCAAACATAAAAGCATTTTCCACAGAGTGATGTACATTAATATGCAATACACAACAAATGTGGTATTTGGCCTACAATCTTCAAAGTCAGAATGGAAAGGCAGTCCTCTCTGGAGATCTGTGGATACCTCCTGCATAGAGTTTAAGAGAAAAATCCCTTAATAAAGAATAAAAAGAAAATGCAAAAAATGTGAATGGATGAATCCACTATCAGAACATCTAACTATAATTACAATTTTCCATGGTATACTTGCAATATTAAACACTACCGAGATACTAATTAAAATCCACTGTAGCTCATATATCACTCGTACTATAATTCAAAACTGGCATTTCCCTTTCCTGTGTTCACAGATTTATGATATGCTTCATTTATTCGTTGTCATAAGGTCTGAAAAGCTCTTCACAGACTTGGCCAAAATACTGATTACGTCTGTCTGGCAGTAAAGATCAAAAGCTCTGATTTACCTTTGGACTAATTTAATGGGCTCAGCAAATCGGAAAGTGTATCAGTAAATCAAGTAAGGCATCTTTCTCTTGTGTCCTTGGATGCTGCCTCAGAGAAAAGTAATCGCCCTGCTCGAGTATTATCAACCAGTTTTAACAGATTTGACCATCTCCTATCTCCAGATCCTTGCTACCTATTATTTGTTTATCAAAGCATGCAAGATACACAAAGAAGGATTCTCTTTATAGTTGATATTTAAAACATATGTATTTATAACTTCTGTATTCACCTCGACTTTTAAATAAATCTGTTTTTGAGATTTGAGTGTTCAAATGTATTTCTTTTAGGTAAAATGACAAAAGGTGGTTGCTGTTATGTCTGGCACACTAACACTCACATGAATTCTTAACAGTGAGTCACATTGCCTTAAAGAAACAACACAGGCAGCAGTGGCCATATTAGATTCATTTCCTGATACACATAATTGAATGTAATGTGAATGTATCCCCCTGAGTCTCGCTTGTTTGAATAAGCTTTAAATCAAAGTAGCATTAGGATTGTACAGCTAATAGCATGCAAACTGTTGGCTTTGATCAGCCAGTACGCCGTGTGTCAACTTACTAATGTGGAGAGAGAGTAAAGTCAAGGTTACATTATGTTTTTCATTATTCACACTGACAGTCCAATTCTCTTTTTATTGAACATATAAATCTGAAATATACTATTTGTGTTGTTATTTCTGCACTGTCTGTTTATCTATTCTGTCAGGGGGATTTTGGCAGGCTCTTGGGGGTAGGGTGGGGGGGGATTGAGGACGACACACTGGGAGGCCCAGAAGCTCCAGGGATTACTGAGCTCACCCTGTTTGCCATCCCCCAAAGGACAGGTAACCCCCCCCCCCCGTCCTGAACAGCAGCAGCATGCGTGGTAAAGAGCTAAATTTGACCATTTCTTGTGAGATATGATTAAAAATGCAGCATGAGTCAGACATTTTGCGCTTGCACTGAAGAATAAATAATGTTTCTAAATGTAGCACCACTTCAAGCGGAGGTTAGTTAAAAATTCATCACTTTTTTTTATGACATATTAACAACAGAGCTCGCTAACAAGCTGACTACTGTTATTTTCCCTGAAGTCTGTTTAAAGTGCGCACTCAACTGCTTACATGCCTGCAGGTGCGCGCACACTTATGTATACAGTACTGGATGCATGAAAGGATCACGTCTCCTCAACACACGTTCCCTTCAAAGAGCAGTAGATGTGTGCAATGTGATCACATGGACAGGTTATGAGCACATTCTTTGCATTTCTGTTACACTCATGATGACACTTTACTGTGTATTTTTTACCTGCACAAAAATAGCATGATTTACTTCATATTATCCTAGGGAGGTTTGATAATTGTCGATAACTAATTTGTTTATATAGAGTAAATGTGATTCATAGATATATATTTGTCATGTAAACATGCAACTGTTGATTAGTATTTGTATTTCTCTGGATTTTTTTTCTTGAACCTCAGGAAGAGGAAATAATATTAGAAGCAATTTTACTGGAAGACAAAGTGTTGTTGCTTCAGGGGCCAGCCTGTAAGGCATTTAAAGCTATTATAGTATTTACAGAAAAGACATAACATGGACACAAAAGACAGACAGCTGTGATAGTTACAGCTGGACAGAAATGTTCTCTCATCAATATAGATTAATCCTGTCTAATCTAGAGACTTGCATTAAAAAAACTAATCCTGTGAGCATCAGCATGAGTAAGAACATGTGTGTAAATGTATGTGTCACAGAGCTCAGTTGGAGCTTGACCTGAAGAGCATATCACCCTTTGTTTGTGTCTGTTGTTTGGGGAGGGGGTCAGTGTGAAGGCAAATCATTCACGTGACTCTTAATATCATTTATTATTGTGATCATTGGGTATAATATGCAGTGGGAAAGAATGAAACTTTCAGTGTTATAAGAGCAATGTCATGACTGTACAATGCTGCATTACAAATACCTTTTTATGGTGCAGTTTTAGCCATAGCTTGCAAAACAACATTCCCATAGCCATCAGCCTCAGCTGTACTGCTGCTGGCACGCTAACCTAAGAGTTGCATGTTTTTGCTCTTATTATGAACTTTAACATTGAACACCTTGTGGCATATTCCCAGTTGTTCCCTTTGACTGAAGGGTCAGATAAATGCAAATGAATACAAAATTGTTGATTTTATAACCACCTTTAACCTATAAAGAAACATTTATACTTACTGAGCAGACTGCTAGTACACACCTGTAAATTCTCCGTAAACCCTTGAGATGGTTGTGTGAAAAAATCCCAGTAGATCAGCTGTTTCTGAAATTCTCACACCGGTCCATCTGGCACCAAAAACCACACCATGTTCAGAGTGACATAAATTCCTTTAGCAGGTCCTCTGGCTTATGTCTACAAGCCAAAGTGCTTAATTTAAGTTAACAGGCATGCCTAATGTGGTGGCTGATGAGGTATCTTCAAATTACATAATTCTGTGATGAATATAAAAATGATTTTAATTATGTGCTTTGGCCAGTGCAGCATAATTTTAGAATGTTCTATACTTTTGTTGACCTTTTCTCCCCTTTTGTTTATTCTGTTATTAAAAAAAACGTTAATTAGCTTTCCTTTCCCTTCCTTTATTTCCTTTCCTTTCCTTCCTGATTACTTTGCGGTGATGTTGCTGGTGTTCTCTTGGCTGGTCAGGTTAACCTCACTGAAACTCAGGCTGTTGTAGTGATGGTCTCCCTCCCTTTAAATGGAACTAGAGGTCGAGGGAAGGCACTCCCACCCCTATAATTCAAGTTTTTCTTTTTCCTGCCTCTGTTATTTTCCTCTCTCTCCCTGTCCTCGGTGGGTTGTCATGGAAATGAAAGCTGGGGTGGGGGGTGGGGGGGCTTCTATTATTGAAGCAGTTGTGGGTTTGGTAGTGGGCAGGGAGTTGGGTATAGTGAAATGAAGCGATTCATGCACTCATAAACAGAGAGTGCGCTGGAGCAGAAGGGCGGTGGGGTGAGGGAGAGAGAGGCGAGGAAAAGGAGAATAGAGAGGGGCCCCGGGGGTGAGCGGAGAGACAAGCCAACTCCACGTGTTTTGGCCCTGTTTCTAACTGATTGCACGTTTTAGGCCATTACGTCATGGTCTGCGAGGCTCTGCTGTTTGAGACACACTGCTGCGGAATCTCATTCCTCATGGAAGATGGCAAAATGAACTCTTGGTAATGCCACCTGTTGTTGGGATAGTAGGAAGATACTGTTCAAAGAGTAGTGAGCATTGCTGATTTTCTCATATGTCATATAACAGATGAAAGTAATGTGACTGAACAACAGACTCGTGTAAAAAGATCTAAAGACTGACTCTGTCATTTATTGGCTGATCTTAGAAACAATGAATTCCTTAGACCCGGGGAATTCCTGGGAATTTCCTTCAGTCTACAAATTTTAGTCTAAATACTTACTAACTATTCTCCTTACATGTTGTCTGGTTGTCTGTTTCTCTGTGTTAGCCCTCCACCTGACTAGCAACCTAGACTCAAACCAAGGACAATGTTTATATGTTATCAACTGGGACATTTTTTTTGTTTTAAACCCTGAAATTAGGTTTATTTTAATCTTATTTTAATATAGATGTCTGCACACACTGTATCTTAAACATACATATTCCAAGATTCTTGGATATGTAACTTAATAATATATCAAGATCTCCCAAGGCAATTAAAACTCCAGCCCACAATAAGAGGCAGACTACATTCAGATGATTCAGACCAAACAGTGATCTTTCTTCCAGCGCCCCAGAGACACACACAAAGACAGAAGCAACTCTCCCACACTCTGTCTCGCCCTGTAACTCTGCAAGGGCTCACACACACATTTTCAATGTG